CCGCTCAACAAGAAATCGCATTAAAACGAATCCAAGATCCGCCGCGGAGATCCGAAATTCGTTAATGTCTAGTATCGGTCGTAGTTCTCGGGAGCGTCGGCCGTTCGCGTTTCCGGTCACGTTCCGCGGCGTTTATCGTCGCGCTGATTCACTGTGTTCCGTCTTTCCCCGATTCCTCTTATTATTTTTATTGCTCCGGGCTCCCGCTTCATCGTTTCTCGATACCCATTCCGTTCTTCAATTTTCGAAAAACGAACAGAATGAAAAAGTGGAGAGAAGGAAACAAAAAAAAGGAGGAACGCGCACGCCCTCCCGCCTTCCCATTATTCCGGCGCACGTTCCGCCTTAGTCCGCAGCGTTTCCCTCTGCCAGGAAATAAACGCGGTCGCGCGTAACCCGAGGGAGACGAGCCACGCTGCTCCCGGTAAGGAGAGAGCGCGGATCGAAAAGTCATCGATGAAAATGAACCGGGCGCGATGGTAATCATGCCGCGTCGATGACGGTGCCGGCGTTCCACCGGATCAATGAGTTAATGAGGACGTTCCGTTGAAAGATGAATTCCGCGCCCCGCCCGACCTTTCACCCTCGGCCTCGTCCCAGCCGTTGCAGTCGATTCGCTGGTCGAACCTCGGCGAATACACCCCCGCGGTATTTATGGAATGCCCGGGGTAATTTTCTATACACGGGCCCCTATAACGGCTGTGGGTACTTGGAACAGTCGGTGCCTTCGCGAATACGCGGATCGATAGCGAACGAAATTCTTTCGCTGGAGAGAGAGGTTCCGTGATACGCGAGATCGATCGTGAAAGCGGGGAAAGTAATTCGGTAATGATTGGACCGCGGCTTTTTGTGCTTTTATAGGGAACTCGAAGGTTCGACGTTGAACGGGATGCTGATGATGAGGAAAAATGTAGAGAACGTCTGAAGAATAGAGGTGTTTATAATGTTTTTTATCGTAGTTCTGTTTTTCTACTTGTGCTCTTGATTTCATGTTTCTAATTGTGTTCTTTATTGCATGAAGATTCATAATCTGGTAATGGTATTGAGTTGGATTGATTTGGAATTATTGTGGATGGGATTTTGTAAGAATTGTATTAGAGCTTTCTTTTCGTCGTTTCGTTGGTCGATGTTTTAAAAGTAGTATAAGCCGAATCTGTTATAAACGAGAATGAGAAATTAATAGGGATATACTTTGAGTGAATGCAGGCAGCAATAACTCCCCTAGTTTCCCCGATATCGTTGTATATCGAATTATTTAGGAAAAACTTATTATTTACTTCAATCGTTGTTTAAATAGTGTATCCCCTCCCCCTTTTTTATTGCCATGAAGCCTCAGTTTGTTTAAAAGTTTGTGTTCCGGTGGAACATTCCAGATAAAACAGCGGCGCAGTAAGCTTCGTTAAGCTCCAACAGTGAGCGAACCAATCGATGTTTATTTTAACCGGAACTTTGAGAAATTTGCAAGATTGCGTTTCCTCCGAGATTCACCGGCGGTCGGAGGGAAAAGGATTTGCTTTAATTTTGACAATGGCCGCATTTCCGTCGGGCTCCGCGCGTAGCTACAAGCAATGGCGTCCAATTACCGTAAACGAAACGTACCAATTTTTTTCCTATTCTTATTCCCCTTCTCCGCTTCTTCTTTTTATTCCTCTGCAATTGTTTCACTTCGCCGGTTTCTTGATCGTCGACGCCATTCCCTGGACAGTAACATATTTTCAAACATTTGCAAAAGCAATCATTAATTCAATATCTAACGCCAAGACCAATATTTATTCCGCAGGAAGTCGACAGGCAATAATTCTAAACTAAAACTCATCGTTTTTCTCCAATGTCTTCCATCGTTATTAAACTGGTGAACTGGAAGATACATCGATGCTAAACTACATTGCCGTTTCCTCTTTAAAAATACAAGAAATAACCGTCCGACACAGCTAATAGTTCACCGTTCTTATTTCCCGATTCTATTACCCTCCGTGAATTACCAATTCGAGATTTTCATTCCACCAGTCTGACCTTGACACCGGCCACCATAAATATTGCATGGAAACTCGTTGCGCCGAACGGAAAAAGGAAATATACCGGACACGGGCCACTATCCACGGAAAAGAAAAAAGAGTGGTAGTTCCCGAGAGTTACGAATCTGTGAGAGTTCAAATGTGAACGCGCTGGAAAGCGTTGCAAAATAAAAAAGTGAAAGAATTGGATCAAGAGTTGGTAGTTAACCTATTGTCTTACAGTATTTTTGAATGAAATATTATAGTATAATACTATCAGATTAAATATTATAGTACAATGCTGTTATATTAAATATTATTCTCCTGTTACCAATTGTGGCAATTCAATTGTGGCAATTTCAAGAACCCATACGTAAATGTACAATGATCGTGGAACTATTTCTTTCCTAATGAATTAGAATCACTACAGTAGTTCTCTTGAGTGCACTGGTGAAATATACCACAGTGCAAGGGGTTAAACACGACATCTGTTCCCTTCGACGATACCCATTTGAATTTTTATACGAATCGTTTTCGCGCGACCCATTCCTCCCGCGTTTTGCGGCTCTTTTATCTCGCGCCACTCGTAACTGGAAATTTTACGGACAAAAATGCCGTGCGTACAATTTCCCGTCGAACAACGGATAAACGGTGGCAGCATCGACGGCGAACGGGCTACTTGCAAATAGCCAGCGAATGTAAATAAAGAAAATTCAAAGTGATCAGCGGGCTCTAGTAAAAATGTCGCGCGGCTCCCCGGTAATTCGGTTTCAGTGCTCACCGTCGAATCGCGGAGACGGGAAACACGAAAATTTACTTTTCCGTCAGTGATACTCACCCATCCGTGTTATGTTTTAAACATTTGTCTCTGTGGACGCTGGCATCTTTGTTCTCCCCGGCTCCATTCCACTAACACGCATTCCCTCGCGAAACTTAAGCCGTAACTCATGCATACAGAAAGTACTTTGCGGGGGAAAAAACGGGTTGGCTCGTGGAAAAGAAGGAGGCCCGCTTCATTTCTGGTATTCCAGCATTTACATTTCACTGTTATTCCAACGACGGAATTAATGTCGGCCGACCGAACCCAGATAAATAACACAACGATACTCGCATTAATTACGATGCCTCTCTTGTTACGTTCAATTATCTGTTAACTGTTTTGGTGAAATTCTGCAGAACAGATGGATACAATTGGAACAAAAGAAAATTTGACGGAGTCAAGAATAATGGGAAACCTCGCTTTTCATATTATTAGGTTCAGATTCATTGACTGGTTGAAATTATTGGTTGGGACCTCAGTTCTGTAATCTTACCAGTGCTAGGTCACGACAGTCTTACAGGTTCACTAATTCGCAATTTTTCATCCAGGATACTTGGATAACATAGTCTAGACCTGACTTGGACCAAAAATAGTCCTTTTACCCTAATAGTTGAGTAATTAGAGCCCATATTGCAATAAGATTTCGATCCTAAGACTCGATTACTTCCAGACTATAGGCACCTGGAGAACCCAACTTCGACGTTTCCAGAACCTTCGATTCCTTTGTTCTAATAAGCCATACGCTTCAAAGCACCGATGATCCTCCAGTTCAAAACTCCACTTTTCTTTCTATTTACATATTCCATCTTTATGCCTTAAACAATTAACACTTGCAACTTATGTATATTTCCTTATTAGTCAGCTTCAAAGAATATCGCCTATACTTTATCGGAGGATGTCGAATATTTCTATCAAGAAATCTCAGAGTGCAAATGTCTAAGTTGCATTCCTATCCGCAAAAGAGGAATTACCTAGTGAGTATGTGCTGGTGAACGCGCATAATCGTTCGAAAAGGAAAGAGAAGAACGATTCTCCGGAAACGTGAGCGAAATACTCGGAGCTCTCCACGGGTTTCTAGTCGTCGTCGCGGAAAAATGACGATTCCTCTGATGCTGGCGCGCGCTCGGCGGACGGGTCGGGATGATCCAAAGGACGAAATTGGTCTTAGCCGTCGCGTACACGAGAAGATCCGTCTGTGTACATGGACGACGACGCCGGCCTCTGCTCTATCCAGCGTTCCCTGGACCCGGGACAGCGACTCAGGAACCTTTTCTGGTTATCTCTCGGAAAATTGTGGAAAACGCGGGCTTTTCTCTGTCCGACATGGCTAATCGAGGTGGAATACCAATTCCAGCAGGAAAATTATGTCCCATACACGAACGGAATTTCGTACGTTCTCGAAATGATTTAATTCCGGGGCACGGAATACGGAGCATGCTGATTTCAATTTAAGGAGAATCAATACGCGGTGTACGGGACCCAACATATAAATACATAAATGATGTATAACACGGAATTCTCGGCAGCGTTGTCCGTAATATTTCCGGAGTAATTACCAACTGTCCCCGTCGTAATTGTGTGTACTAGCGTAAACTATTCACACGTTTGACGCGACGTTAAATTCTAATGAATTGCACGGACCATTCGTAATGCGAGTTTACTGCGCCGGTCACAGGGTAAAACGCGCCCTGTTCCTGATTACTCGCGCCAACGTTAATCGAAGCTAATTTGGGAGAAGATTATTAGCTGCGCCATTGGTATGCCGGTTTATGAGGACCACGCCGATTGATCTTCAGGATTAATATTGGATTTAAGAACGTTTATCGTGCACTTTATTCGATCCTTTCCTGACGAGTGGCTGTTCGTTCGCGAAAATCTTGGAAATTCGAGCTTCGGCAGCAAGGAACGGTACGTGTTCGAGTAATCGCATCGATCAAAATTGTAGATTTTCAGCGCACAGTGTTTATGAAATTTAATATCCGTTAATTTAAGTGTAACAGACCTAATGTTAATGTTTTCAGCGCTGCGTATTCCAGAGGGGGGCCACATTTGCTGAAATAGGCATTTTAATATTTTTCTTATATATTCGTTGAACACGTCAACAGAACCTTATTTCTGAAACATGATGAATATACACTAGTCTACAAAATTAAATAATCACTACATTGTAAAAAAAAAATCAATCTTCGAACTCCAGTAACTTTGTTCAGAAAGTTATACAATATTCTTCCTTAACTCATTATAAAGCGTGAAGGTTTTACTTTCGCCTCCCGTGAGCCATTATTACCTAAAATTCTTCATTCTTATATAACGAGTGAGAAAATAAACATACTATTTCAGGTTCAAAATTGTACAATTGGTATTCGAAATGTCAATCGTGCTGTTAGGTAACGAATATCGGTAAAAATACACTTTGTTCTCTTTTTCCCTTTGTTTGGGTAATTCAACGAAATCGACGACAATAGGGTTCAAAAGTAAATGCGTTACGTTCGCGGATCGTCTGTCCGATACACGAATGGCGTAGATAAATTTGTCGGCCGGTCGAAACGAAAACAGTGGGCCAAATTTAATAATACGCTTTCCGATGTTATATATGAAAACGAGGATAACCGACTGCTCGGTTCAATATAATTTCGATACAAAACGACCGCTCGGATTACGAGCTTGGCCCCCGCTTGCTCCCGACCCTCCGTTCACAGAGTGATTTCACGTTGAATCGCGGAACGGCGAAATGGAACACAAACCGGTATGTTTACATTCTGTTATAAAACAACCGGACAAAATTCTGGGACGTTTCGCATGTTCCGCTTGTGTATAATGCTGTTCTCGATTCGAGTTTCATGAATTCGCGAAAGAAGGTAAAATGATTAATTGCGGCTTATATAAATTATTCGAACGTGATTATTCTGCTGAGTTGCAATCCACATACATACATTTCCGTAACTGTCCCTTAATTCCAATTTTCGGCATATCCGTTCATATTCTGATCCAGTTGAAACGAATCGCATCGAAAAACACAATGGATGTTTCAGTGTCACGATATTAACATAGAGATACCGCACCCGTCGAAATGACGGATTTCAGTTTTCTTATTTCCCGATTATTGATGGTTTGAAAGTGTTGAACCTCCAGATTGGTTTGAGAAATAGTTTCGCTTGAATACTGTAACGAGTATACGATGACACCGAAAATAAATCTATTGTTACAAGTTTTATAATCATATCAAACGCTGGGTAGTTTTAACGTTAATGATCTATACAAACATAAGTAAAATAATTCAGTTGTTATAATAACGGAAGATTAGCTTCTCTTCGTTTCGTAACATTCAAAAATTCGATCTGTAATGCGTCTTTCTACGCTAAAAGCTTTAATATCGTCAGAAAATCCCCGCGAAGGGTTAATCGCGTTCCAAGGAAGATAAAACCTCAAGAATGTCGCATAAAATCCTCGATCGATCAACGTTTCCGGCGACGAAACATTTTCCCCCGGTTACAAAATTACTGAGAAAGGAGAGAGACGGTCGTATCCGGTAGCGAAATGAATGATTCAGGGCGGCGAAGCGGTGCGGGGGGTGGGTCGAGGGAAAAGTAGACATAAAATTCGCATATTTCGTGTCCGCGGCCTGGAAAGCGAGTAAAGGCTTGAGGGTCCTCGGGGAAGCACTCGAAAACCATCGAGACTTCCAATGATTCTGGGGCTCGAATAACATTCGGCCGCGCTTTCGGGACGGCTGATCCGATGAAAAAGTTGGAAGAGGGTGCCGGTGAATGGCGGTCATTAGGGGCCGGTGCAGTCGTTGCATTCGCCGCATTCCTCGAGGAGATTCGCGCCTCTTCCTCGGATGCTTCACGGATCCGCACCGTATCTCGGTCAGGGGCCGCGAGGACACGTGCTTTCCTGCGATTAACTTTCCCGTCGTTGAATTGTCGGCTTCCGTCCTATTCAAATTACAAATTGGAATACATTAAAGTCGGTTTTCATACTTTTTCCATCATTTTCATTCCAACTTCGCGACAATGACACTGATATCGATCACGAATGTGATTCAGGATAATATTATTTTTGACTTTTGATAGGCTGATCTTGATTTTGGCCATGTTTGTCACTTTTTGCGTACTAGATTGGATTACTTTATTTATTTCGTTGTTTTATTACGGAGTATACCGTACTTTAAAGTTCTAGGTTATATACAAAGGAAGAGACTCAAAAAATTGAACTCAGAGTTTCACCAAAAATTTCCCGTAGTTGTATTGTAAAATATAGTGCGACATTGATTTTATAAAAAATTTGTTCAACCTAAAATAAAATAAAAAATTGCGGCGTATGTTCATTATTTAATATTTGCAGCTTTATTTTATTTACACGAATATATTTTATACAGTGCCAAAGACCGTTTGAAGTTTTTAAAATATTTGAAACCTTTTTCTTCTGAAATTACATTTTTTTGATGAAGAAAGTGAACGAGTGAGCGCTTAGTTGATGCAACGCTATCGGAAACGTGTGTAGTCGGCTAGCTCATTACCCGTGAAGGATGACAAACCGCCGGGCGCGGGGTAATTACCGCGGGCTATGAATCATTTCCTTAATCGTTTTCGATTAGTGCACGCGTCTCGGTTAATAACGATTCTTACGTGCGTGAGAAAGTATCGCAGCCTTCCGTTCCTGCCAGTTTTCCGAGTCTGTCTGAAACGTAATAATTAATTCGCCGGAATAGCTTCGCTGACGAGGCGTTAATCGTGCTCGCAAGCCCGGCCGCGCTGGAACTTAACGCAGCGCCCGTGAATTATTGTACTATAAATCTCGACAATAAGTTGTTACCAGGGAGAGTGCTTTATCTTCCACCGCGAACGTCTGCAAACCTTGGAAAATGAAAAATACAAATAACAGGGGGAAGAATTATTAGAAACGGCCGAACGTATCGAACGATTAATACTGTGATGCACGAGGATTCCTAACGAGCAGGGAGTGTTCCTGTTCTCCTGAAATGAAGCGATAATCAATTTGCAAATACATTAAATTCGAATTTTCTGTGATAATGTAGCATTCTTCGAGAAAATGCGCGTCTTTCGACTAGGATTGTATTTCTTCCACTCGAATCTCTTTTCTGGTAATTATTTCGAATATTTGAACATTCGACATATTTGATTAGGACCTTCGTTATATTTTTGAAAATTACATTCTTACTTAACTCGTATTATCAACCAAATATTATTTTCCATTTATTATTATTTCAAATATTATTTAGATCATTTATATTTCTACATTTATTTTCCACTTCACATCAATCTCTACATTTCTTTCCTCATCACTCGTTACATGGAAAATCCATTCTTTAAGTAAGAAAATCCGCAGAATAGAAAATTCCTTATGTTCTCAGTGTAAATGCGAGCGCAATTTCACAAAGGGATTTTTCTCGTGTTACGCAATTATTTGCACGCTAGAATTATTTATGTCCAACTAAATGTTACGTCGACTGCACGATCGAGGGTTCTAGCGCGCTAGCGTGCGAGAGTGCGTCGTTCCCCGCTTAAACGATAATAACACTGGCTGCATATGCACCTCGGGAGACATTCCGGGCCGATGCATGCGCGATGAAACGCCCGTGGGAGCAGACAATGCGTATCGTTGCTGCAGTCGATGGGGACTCACGGAATCTCGTTAGTGTGTTGTGTTTTCGAGCCGCCAGTCTGCGACCACGGCACCGCGCGTTACAATCCGGACGCCGTTTCGCGAAGTTACTGCGCCAGACGTCAATGAAAACTTTGAATGAACACCACCTGCGCGGAAATACGTCGTTCGAATCTCGTAATCGCGTGCCCTCGATCTATTCATTTCGGATTGTAACTCGGCTCGGATCAAACATTTGTTTCAAGAGAATAGATTTTATACTGAAATTTGTATAAATATCAAATGCTCACTATTTATATTATAATTTGTACAAACTGCAAATCCTCTGAAGATTATTTCGTAGAAGTAGGTTCGAATCAAATATTCTTTTCGAAAGAATAGGTTCCACCCAATAACTCTTATGAATCACAGAATTGCATTCATTAAGAATTGGTGCAGCTCTAAGAAATATTTCTGAGAATACTGTAGTTACTCAGGAGCAACGTAATTGCATTTGAAACCTGAAACTACAAGAACCCTACGATGAATTTCTAAATTTCGAGGAGAAACAAAGAAGTAAATTTTTGCTTAATTCGCATACTTGCGAATTAATTGACAACAGCACCGATTTGTCAGCGAGTACGGGCAAGAGGCTTGTACAATTCTTTTGTCCGTCGTCTGAAGCGCAACAATGAATGTCGTTCTTAAAATCGGTCAAGTATCGAAGTAAAGCCGTACTTCAGCGAACTCGGTCGGACTTCCTTTTCAATTTCAGCGAAGTCACAGCACCGACTCGGGAACGATTTTTCGTTCTGATGCCGCAGGTGCCGGTGCCGGAACTATTTAATATCTCCCGGCGCGCAATCGTTCCGTGAGATTTCAAGCATAGGCGACATTCTCGAAATAACTTGCGTCTCGTGGCTGGATGAAGGGAACCGGCCATTTATGCTTATGAATTATGTAGACCTCCATCACGCTTACACGACGCGTCGGCTAATCTTTGATATCTACGCATGCGACCGCGCGATAAACAACGATTTTAATGGTATAAATATTCATCGCGGGTCGACGCGCGTCTCCCAGTGAAATATGTAATTCATGAAACTTTAAAAATTCATGGCGGGACCGGGGATCGGGTTACGCCTGCGCGACGATGCGCGGATTCACGATAATTCCCGCGTTGGAATTGCACGCGACGATTCATGAAATGCTCGCTGTACAGGCTCGTTAAACATTTTCATCGGAACAACCCCGTTTCTTTGCCTTTCGTGGAAGAAGCCGACGAAAGTATAATCTATTGACATTTCCGTCTTCTCTTATTGATCTATGAGAATCTAAGATGAAGTGAAATAGACTTCATACTTTGCAAACTCTCGAAGATTCTTTAGACATAGTCTATTAGCAGTAAATAACTCTGACTTACGCAGTAAATTATACCTTAGGAAACTTGAGAACATGGGGTCCATATCCAAAGAAAGTAATTAGAAATAGAAAATGACATTTTCATATGTCAAACTCTTCGAATTGCACCATCCTCTGCAAAATTGTTCACACGTTGCACTCAAACAATTGAATAATTTATTTCACACCAGCACTCACTAGAATTACTTTGTCATCCATAATTCACTGCAAACGAAGAATTCCATCTACATCGATATTCACTTCAAAGCATAAATATTGATAACAGAACAACAACATTGAACTCCAACCCAAAAGAATTGAATAACATTTACTTCTGTCAAATTTTATTTGAAATGTAGCTCGACTTAGATACGATATTAGAGGTCAAGAGGTTGATCTTTCCGATAATTTCTCGCGTGAGATTGTCCCGTTCGCGGTCGCGTTACAGGTTGCCGCGTGCGCTCACAATGCTCCCAGTAATTCCGCTGGCAGCGGGTCCCGATATCGTCTGCGAGACGTTTCTTTGATTCTATGATCGATCGCGCGTGGCCGCGCGTAACATGACTCGCCTTTGAATTTCAAACGCGGCATTACGTCGCGATCCCAGACGTCACGTTCCCGACCTCTGTCCCGACGGTCCCGGAAATCGGTATCGCGACGCATCGCCGCGCGCCGGGGAATCCACTCTTCCCGACCGAAAAGGTTCACGAGCAGAGACTTTAACGAGCCCTTTGACTTTCAAATCGATCCGAAATATAAAAAAGATGAGAACGACGAGACGATCGTTCACCTCTCTGCGAATACGATCAATGGGCCGATGATCCGATGCATTTCATGATAAACGCGAACGCGCGCGACGCGACACCGAGAAATCTTCAGGGGAATTCGAGAACGTTCTTACCCCTTTTTTAGATTATTGTCAGTTCTTTAGGGGAGTAGTGGATTTTCATTTGACCCCTTATGTTTTGGATTGTTTCAGGCAAAGACAATTTTGTATTTAATTGTGTTAGACATAATGCTGTATTAGCTAACATTCTTTTGTTTAATATTATATTCTCTGGTACTGTATTGTCTAATATTATATTGTATAGTATTTTCTAATATTGTATGTTCAAATATTGTATTCTCTAATATTATATTCTCTATCTACTTTCGTTCTACCATTTAACAAAATAATTCAACTTTCAAAAAAGTCCCATTGCGAAAGTGAAAAACGCAGAGTTGTTACGACATTTACCTATCTCTCCAGTCGTACAATGTCGTTCCAGAAGAAAATTTCATACAAAGGTTTCACATTTTAATTCGTCTCGCCGTAGAAACGATACTCCGAAATGCACGAAGATGTTTCCAGTCCCTGAAACGTTAAAGAAAAATGCCCGACAGTGACCGTTGGTCAGAAACCATTAAGCTTGACCCCGGTTCGCCGTCCAGTCGCGTCACAAACGCGCGTCGGCCGCGTTCCGGAAGTTACACCGGTGAGAAACGACGGCCCGACTGGAACAACAGTTTTTGCGAGTTCGTCCGGGACGTTGATTGTAATTTTTCCTCGTTCCGTTCACTCGGAGGGAGCGGGCGTATTGTTGCGCTGGTCTGACGTGTCGCCGGCGGCCGAAAGTGGCTGCCGCTATTTTATTAAATACAATGAACACTCCAGTTTGCATTTTATGCGGAACACGGCCAGACCATTTCTAGACTATCGCTGAACTGACTGCCTATTGTCCCGGTGAAAGCACGAAACTGCGGGCGTCGCGGCAGAGAGATTATATCGCGACGCTGTATTAATTCTTCGTGCCGTTGAAGACACGTATCTCTGTATTCGTGTTTCGCCGTTCGGCGTTCGTCGCGGCGTCGAATCGACGGGGACCTCATTTCTTTTTATCTACTTCTGTTATTCGAGGCTCATCCATTGAGGAAAAATGGGACGACTGTTCGTCTCTAATGGTTTGATTTGCTCGTACATAATTTAAATATTTCTTTTTTCTGAGAAATATTCAATTTGCTCAGTGAAATACTGAGTATTGCTACAGGTTGCTATGGAAGTATGTAATCTTCTTATTTCGAACAGTGCAGAATAATTATTACAGACCTGTTTGATATACAAAGGAGGCTGCAATAAGCTACACCGTTCAGAGAACGGTATTTATGCGATCATTGTTCTCCCGCTCCATTTAATCACGAATTTTCTTCGAGGCAAACATTTATGTGGCTAACGGCTACGTTTCAAAGGAACATTGTTCTACGCTGCTATCATACTTACTGTTAAAACCAAAGGATAATTGATTAAATATCTCAAAACACCCAAAAATATGTTCATATATTTTTTCGCATTCTTTTCATTCTGTACACTTCCAAATTTCCCATAAATAACATAAGAGTCCACAGTATATTAACAACCAACAAGCAGAAATGAAAAGAAACGCATTCTCGCAATTTTTATAGGCATCGCATACTAATTAAATATTAAATACTCGGTTCTTCCAGTGTTATGAGGTGAAAATCTCGTCAGAAGCCCAGGAATGTCCGTGGCCCGTAATAATGACGGGTGCGCGCTCGCGTCACGTCGTTCCGCGAGAGCGGGCCGCTGCGCTGTAGGAATCGAATATTAAGGGCCGGCATTAATTACCTTTTGTCCGGCGATGGAATGATTAAACGCGAATTGTATGGAACTCATCGCCGAACTGGGTCAGCGAAGCGCGGCAATACGGCTGGAGACAACAAAACAGCGTAACGGTCGCGTGTATCGCACGGCATCGTACTTATTCAACGTCTCCGCGGCCATGAAAGACCGGCCGCGACCGAAAACCGGACGAAAGTTCGCCCCATTTCAGCCTGGCGGAATGTTATTGGCTTTTTGCCCAATTACAAGAGATCGCTGGACACGCCGGCGCGGAAACTTTCCGCGAACGGGACACACAGGACGGTACGAGCGCGCTGCTTGGACCTCGTTTCAGCGAGGACGCCATCTTTTCAATTGGTTCGTCGTGTTTCGACGACCGTTCTATTGTCGTACGTTTTGTAAGGAGCGTCGGTAATTGGACCGGTGAGACTAGGAGCAATATAAATTTGGTTTCAATTTAAATCGAGGTGTTGTGCGCATCGTTTCAGTTATTCCGTTGTACCTTGTTCTGTTGTGCTATCTATGATAACTGAATTATACGGGTAACGCTGTAATTTAGTTTTCTGTTCTACTTTATTCTATTGTAATTTATACGCAACAATGATAGTTGGATTATACACGTAGAAGCAATAGAGATATTAATTTCTATTCCAAACTGAGATATCAAATGTGCTGTCTCGGTAGGTTAGATTTTACATATTATATTAGAAACAAAGGGAATTTTTACCGTTCAGTTAGATTATAAAATAAATGAAATTTCCATTCGAAGCACTCTTCCAATTTCCTTTGTAAAAGAAACTGCAGCTCACAGATACACGAGCGAAACGACAAACAGAATTTTTCCCTTTTTCGATCGAGACGAAATAATCCATAAAAGCAAAAATTCACTTGAGGATTTATAATTCGATCACGCGTATTCCAATAAAGCATACTCCGCCCATTCAGCGAAGCGCAAAGGTACTTTTATGCTCGCCTCCCGCCGGTGGAGGCATTCACTTAAGGAAACGACCGCTCGGCTCGCGGTAATTCAGTATTTTCCGAATTGTTTGCGCCGAGGCATTAAATGGACACCTTTTGACGCAGAGAAAGCGCGCGCGCAATGAAGGATCTGTGTTCGCCGCTCCTTTGTTTCCGCGGGGACAAAGCGCGATTAATAACAATGATTGGCCGTAGTCGAATTACGTAGTTTACCTGGCGCGGCCATTCCCATGGCAAATGGCGAATCGCGGAGCCGTGTGTTTGTCAATCGTGGTGAAAATTGACCCACTTCCTGCCCGCGCAATTATCCGTGTCTCCGTTACTTTGTGCGAGGCCCGAGCTGATCGCAATAAAACGGCCCATTATAGCCGGAAGTAATGAGCAGGCGCACCGGCCGAGTAACGTTAATAATTTCCCGGCAAACTCACGCTAATGCAACAACAATAATAGTAACAACAGCAACGGTAGTAACGCCACGCATGTATTTGTTATTATAACACCACGGTTTGTCGCGCGCGTGCGAACGCGTACACATTATTTCGTCAGAGTGACGACTATTACGTGGCGCATGAAAAATGCATCCTCCGGTTGAACGGGAAACGTTTGCCACCACGCAGTTACCTGTTATGATTAGATGCCACGATATTTTACGCCAACATAGATTTTTATGGATCGATTTGCAGAAAATTGGAAGATGATAAAAGTTTGACTCCTTTGGTCAAGGTTTTATTGGAGCCGAAGTGAAATAAAAGTTTTATCGAACCAGATGAAACTTTTTAGTGGGCCGGGTTCTGTGTTATTGAGATTGCGATGAACGCGCGTTGCGCGCGGACGAATTGCGAATTGTTCAACGCGCCCGACGAGCGACATGGTACTGCTTTTAGATACACTGGCAGCGCAGGTTGGATTCGAGATTTTAATTAAATTTAGCATATTGTGGGCAATGAAATATGTGTAGCTTATTGACCACATAAAATATATTAAGTTTCCTGTGCATTTATCAAGCTTTGCTTTCATATTTTGAAACTCACTATAATTTCAAATTGGCAAATTTGAAACTCGATCCGAACCCAGGATGCAACTTTTGCATCGGTCGTCATTGACGGTTGGATACGAATTTCTATGGGTCCTCGCAATTCTTTATGGCTCGGACGTTTTGCGTGCCAAAACGCATACTCGGAGTTTCAATATCACGTATCAAAAGTTAACAAATCTGCAAGATATTACATTCGAAGACCAACTCGCGCAAGGAAGATCAATTTGACCGTTAATCATCTTACTCTTCATCGCAATTCTCTCATCGATCACGTGTAACCGTATGAACACGTTGAACGCCGCACGGCTTCGAAATACAGAAAATCGAAAAAATATAATACCAAATCATTTAACTGAATTGCGTTAGTATCGCAGCACGCTCGTCTAGCCGAATGTGTCACCGCATTAGGTTTAATTAAGTGAACTATAGTTATTCGATTTATATCACCCGCACAACATTCAACGTGTTAAAGAATTACATATTAACATCAATAATGAGACGATAAAATATAAAAGCCGAGCAATGACATCAGTACACTGTCTGTCGCGCCCCTCTCAGCCGAGGAACCCGCGAAGCGAAACGGTACACGCGGAAAATAGGTGACGAAGGCGGAAGAAGTCGGTGCGCGAGACGTCCGCGAGACGAAGCCCGTCGCTACGGTCCTGAAATGAACTTTTTACGTGGAGCCGGATAGAGAGACGGGTCAGCTCGAGACTGTGTTCCGCGACGGGCTGGCTCGACAAAAGAAACGAACGCGAGCAAAGTTCTCGAAGGAGAACGGAAGCTCGATGGCGAGGCGGGCGAAGGAAAATATTAGTAGTTGCGAGCGCTGGCTACGAGGACTCGGGCCGCACCCCCGCCAGCCTACTCATATTTCCTTCGTTTTCACCTACATCTTGACCTCCCTCGCGT